CATTTTGTTTACATATATATATAATATGCATGTATATTTCAGACAATATATGTATATATATATGTTAAAAAAAAAAAAAATAATTGATTTTGCTCTTCGCAAACGAATTTTAGGCCTACGACTTATAAATAATATCTATGTATATATATACGTATTTTCTTTTTCTCAAATTTTTTTTTCAGGATCAGGACCGAAACGGAGTGTGGGGGGACACGCTTCAGTTCGCTTCGGAGTTTCAGTACAATAAATCAGTTTTCTGAGTGCCTTCGCTATAGACAATGCCGCCCGCTGTTAGAAAGTCATCGACATCGTCATCTGTTCCAGCCGCATCCTTGGCATCCTTGACTCCGCTCTCGCCGTTTTCACCATCCTTGAGCAGCCCCTCGCTAATGCCCACAATGCTGCCGTTGCCATTGAAGTTGCTGCTGTTGTTGCTGCCACCGTTTGTGGCGACAGCGCTGGGGGAGCGGGTCACGCCCAGTTGGAACAAGCTGTCCATGGGCGACGCCTTGACGGGGGTGTAAAAGCCCAAAGCTGTAGAGCCTGTAATTGAGAGATCGATTAATCCAAATGGAATTGGCTTTCACAGCTAAACGATTAATTACTGAAGCCGAATTAATTGATTTAGTAGCAGAATGTGTGCACCAGTGTTGCAGAATGTGCAAATTAAAGTGAAACAAATTTCAAAGTGTCAGTGTGAGTGTGCGTGTGCGTGTGAGTGTGTGAGTGAGTGTGTCTTCAATTGAGGTTAGTTACCTTAGGAGATTAATATGAATTGGCGATAAGTTTAGTTTTTGTTTGTTTTTGTTTTGGTTTTATTAGGCTTCAGTTCTGCGTTAGCCAACACCGTGAATAGGTTGTTGTTGTTGCTGTTGCCGATGTTGTTGTTGTTGTTTTGATTGTTTTTGTTGTCAGACTGACAGCAGCGCTTCAGTGTGCGAGCGAGAGCGTGAGAGTGCGAGAGGAAGAGACGTTGCTTTGCACCTGGTTTGGCCGCCTCACTTTTTTTTTTTTCTTTTTTTGCATTTGATTTTAGGTGTTCTTTTTAACTTTGATGTTTATATACATACACATATACGTATGTACACATACATATATGCATTTGCATATGTAAATCATATTATGATTATTTTTTGTATTATTATTATAGATATTATTTGTAAGTATTATGTTATTAGTTTTAAATAATATCTGCAAAAGAAATTAGTAAAACACAAGAGAGGGAAAGAGGTGTGAGTAAGTGAGAAGGGAATAGAGAAAAAAAAAACGGAATTCTTGTTTAAATAAAGTTAATATTAGTTATATTGAGATATTATAGAGCTATACGAAAAGTGCCAGGCAGTTATTAGTAATATATATATACATAGATGTGAGCTAAATTCGAATTATGTGTGCTGCAGCCAACTTAATGCATATGTTATGTTTATTCAGTGCTGCCACATCTTTGAAATATTATAGGTGTTAGTGCAATAGTTTCGAGAAATGAAAACATTTAGTTCAGTAGAAGATATATTACTATGATAAGCAGGAGTAATGGGAAACTGAGGCAGTGAGTGGCCAGGTAACTCATTATTTCTGCATAACAGGCTGAGGGAAGTGCTTAGGGAAGGTTAAGTAATCTATGAGAAATGGCGAGTCGGGAGTAACGAATGGACAATGGCTTATTGCGATAATATTATTATTCTTTAAAGGATTGCGGAACCAAGTGTGTGCGAGACAGGGCCTTTACCATAGCAAGGAGTAACAAGTAACGAGTACCAAGATATGTCGAACAAGCGAGTAAACGTAAGAGCAACACAAATCGAGAAAATGTATATGGGGCTGACCGAGCGAAGAACGAGTAACAAATAACGATTGGCGAGTAAGTACAAGCTATACAGGGCACGTATTTTTGTGTTTTTGCCAAAGCAGGAGCTGGGTAAGAACTACTACTACATGTACAAGGGTCTGAGCCACAACCAAAACGAGTAGCGAGTAGCGAGTGAGTTGTGTAATACAGTTAAATCCAAATGGATGATTATATTAGCTCCCCAGGAGGTACGAGTAACGAGTAGCGAGTGAGGGGACAACGAGTTGTAGCTGGGTCGTATCTCTATCCGTACACAAAATCTATACAACAAATTTGAGGAGATGGGATCCGGGCCACAACCTTAGCGAGTGACGAGTAGCGCAGCAGCTCGTTATGTTTTAACCAATTGGTAACCTGGGAATAGGGCTGGATAAGTACAAAATATATATCCTGAACCGTACTGGAATCGGGTCTGGGCCACAACCATAGCGAGCAGCGAGTGCATAGGACGAAGGACGTGGGAGCAGGGCTTACACAACGAGTACAAATAAAAAGCTTGAGTTTGCCTACGTTTCACAAGAGACAGGATGGAACGGAGAGCAAAGACAGTTTAGACATAGTAGAGCGTGTTGCCTGGAATGCGAGCCTGCAGCAGGGCGTTGGATGCGTTGGGTAGCGCTAGCGAAGACGACGACGATGACGCCGACGACGCCGAYGACGACGAAATTGACGACGGGGATGACGTCGTTAGGTTGTGGGTAGCTAAGGGCAGACTGGCGCGACGGCGACTCAAGCAACTTCCATAGCTGCAGGCAGTTGTTGTTGTTGTTGACGTCGTCGTTGCTATCGTTGTTGGTGCTGTTGTTGTTAGAGTGTGTTTGGTATATTTACTCTGCAGCTGTTGCGGTTGCAGTTGCAGTTGCAGATGGAGTTGCGGCTTGGCGGCATGCGAGAATGAGGCAGCTTTGCGCTTAGCCAGATGTGTTACAGGTGTCACTGCTTCATTTTGCAGAAAGCACGCATACTGCGGCTTTAATAGAACCGAAGGTCTACGACGTTGTAGCTGTGGTTGCTGCTGCTGCTGTTCTTGTTGATGATGTTGTTGTTGCTGCTGCTGCTGCTGCTGCTGCTGATGCGGCTGCTGAGCGTCCATTGGCTGTGGTTGAGACTGTTGCAAGATAATACCCCTCCCTAAACTTGGGTAATCTGCAAATATGCGTGATCCTTAAATAGAAATCCTAACAGCTGATGCTGTGTATGTGGTGCAAGGGGCATAGTTGGGACTGCAGTGGGGCGGTAACTAGAGGTAGCTAGATAGTTGGGCGTGGTTTTGAGGGGGTGCCTGGCTGCTTGAGTAGCTCAACGTAAGTGCACAACACCCACCTGAAGAGCTGAATTAGTTTTCGGAATCTTTTGAGCAGCTGCCGGCCAGGTGGCAGCGCCAATTGCCAGCAGCAGCATGCAGCCCTGGCATGACCTAGACAGCAGTCCCTAGAAGACATGCTAGTAGAATTGCAGTTAGCGGCAATCGCTATGTTAACTGTAACAGTGGCCTTTTCTGTAAAGTGCAGAGATACATATGTTGTTGTTTTTGCTGTTCTTGCTGTTGCTGTAATCAGCAGGCATGCATATGCAATTGGATCGTATGCGTGGTCAAGTGTGCGTTGAGTATGAGTAGGTGTGGTGAGTATGCTATAACAGGATGCTGCGTGCGTGTGTAGAGAACGTGTTAATGTGTATATGGCTGTCAATTTGAATCCCCCGCACAGATGGCGCCAATAAGGTGTTAAAACTCAAGAGCTCAGCACTACGACTAAGACAGATCTATATATGTATGTATATATAAATATACATACTTACAATTGTGTTTATATGTATAGACACAAAGGCAAAGATAGAGTGAGAGAGACAGAGACAGAGAGTGACAAAGACACAGAGAGAGAGATAGTTGCGGCTCTTGGTAAGCATGCACACGCATACATACACACGCATTTATATCTATACTATATATGTATGTGTGCATATGTATGTATGTGTGTATATAGGGTGTATGTACATGACAGGGTTGCCACACTCACCTAATGGTAAATTCCCCAGCATTGCGCTGGTCGCCGACGTTTTATGCGACGTCGAGGATGTTGTTGATGCTGTCGGAAGCTCAATTATCTCATCAACTGTTACATGATGATGCTGTTGCTGCTGTTGTTGCTGCTGCTGCTGCTGTTGTTGCTGATGCTGCATGCGTAGATGCTCCTCATAGAACAGCTGATGATGCTTGGTCACATTACCGTAGGGATCGGCATACGGCTGATCGTCAACGGTTTGTGATGCCTCGGAGGGATATTCAAACGTTGAAGTTAACGTATCGTTAAATTGTACGCGGAACTGTAAAAAAAAAAAAAACAACGAAATTTTATTATACATATGCATATCTTGTACATAAAATAAATGTAAAATGTTATACATATATACGCATACATAATACATATGTATTTTATGTTTATGTATGTATGTAGGTATATATGCATGTATGTACATATATATGATATCTGTCACATTGATGAAACGCACCCAAGCCCAAGCCTACCTAAACTTCTCCCCTGGCACCATGTCAGGCTTCACCCCTACAGAGAGATCGCCAACAAAAGCCACTTTTAATGCATTTTGATTAATAGCGACGGCACAAATAAATAAATATGATAACGCAACAAGGAAATGAAAAAAAGACATAAAAAAAATCAACAATAACAATAAAACTAGTTAGAATAGTTTATGCTGCTTGTAGTCGCCAGCTGAAATACCCTAACATACATATGCTTATGTGAGACTATTCTCAGTTTCACTTTCTTATCTGGGCATTAACGGTTATAAGACTTGACTGCTAATCAAAAATATAAGATTTTTTAATCAATAAATGCTCTCTCTTGCTCTTCATCTGTCACTTCCTGGCTTTTACTTGACGCTCATTTAGTCAAATATCCTCTCAGCTGTTCAGCGCTGCAACTAACATAATAGATTAACAGCATGTTAACAGCGCTAATAGCATGTAAACAATTTATAATCTACAGTTAACATTTCTTCTAGTGCTTTTTCCGCTCTTTTGTATTGCTGCTTCTGCTGCTGGAGATGAGCGTGTCGAAGAGCAACGCATAAAAATGATAAACAATAACAAAGCAAATGAAAGTGGCTCAAGTAAATTTTCGTAAGCTTCTTTATGCCCTTAATGCAATAAGCGAGCAAAACAACATTTTCGACAATAGGAAAACAAAAATCACAAAAGGAAATTTTTATAAAAAAAAAAAAAAGCTGAAATAAAATAAATAAAACACTGACCCCATGAGCTTTAAGAAATAATTGCTGTTAATTGTTTTGCATCAGTTTGTTTGTTTGTTGCTTTTTATTTTTTAAAGCGATTAAAAGCTAAAAAAACGAAAGTGAAATTAAGGCCAATAGACTGCAGCAATTTAAATATATATATATAAAAGAAGAACAAACGACAGATTACCACAAATTGATAAATCTAGTACAGTGAAAGCACGCTTAAGTGCACAGCGAACAGTTAGGAGAAGCTCAATTTGCAAAATGATCAAATATTATCAATTAGTTCTTCGATTTCTTTATAATTTTATTTAAAAATAAAATGTTTTATCTGATTTGACGCGGTTTCCATTAATTTATACTATAATACTCTACAAATTGATTTGATATGCGATAAGACTGTGTTTTCATTACAATGCGACAGAATCTTCAATCATAAAAAAATAGAGTCGCCGACTTCGTTACAATTAATATTGGTAGCCCCACACACATACACGCGCACGCACACTGTACAACAAAAATAATCTTATCTTATCCTTGCCAAACAAAATACAAAAAAAGAACCTGCACAATCAGAAAATACTCAAGTATTTTGGTGAGTGTTGAACTGTTAGTCATGCCTTACGTACTAACAGTAGTTTTACGTACTATAATATACATATGTATGTGTGCATATATGTATACTTATGGATGCATTAGTCACGAAGAGGCATATAATTGGCTGTATGAAATGAAATGCATTTCCGCATGTGTATACATATGGATGCATGTGTGCATGGTGAAGGTGAATGTGTGGAGGACGAGGGGAGGGGGGGCTGTTTATACTCACCGATGAATCTTTGGGTTTCTGTCGTATGCTGGACTTGCCGTCGATCACAATATTCGCATTCTCGAACTCCACATCGCAGGGCGACGGCGGGCACATGGAGTAATCATCGTAGTCCGTGTCTGTCGATGTCTCCACCGAAAGGTCGCCCAATAACACGAAGCCCGGTTCATTTGGCTGGAAAGTGAAAATTAACGAAAAGTTCGATTCAAATGAAATATCTTAAAAGCTCAGTTTGTAGATAGCCAGAGGGAGAAAGAGACAGAGAGAGAAAGGAAAAGAGCGATGGAAGGGAGTAGAGCTGTTTCGAGGCCGATATCGTTTGCTCTGAATCACAGCTGTCCCATTTCTCGCCATGTCGGACACAGAACCTAATGGACAGACCACACATACATACATATACCGAACAAGAGATAATAAACTTCAGACACAGATAACAAAAAAAAAAGCAAATGAATACATGCATGTATGTATATACGAGTATATATGTATGTATATGCCTACATATCCTACATGAATACATAAAGAGACCAACAAAAACTACGTCAACAACAAACATAAGAAGAACAACATAAGGCATAAAGCAAAAGCAACCAGAATTGAACGTCAAAAAAGAATTGACAAAATTGAGTTCAGAGCGGCACAAAAACGGGTTTACTATTGTCAATAGCAAGCGCGAAAGAGCGAGCGCTTGTTTTGCACATGAAAGGCAGAGTGGGAGCGCGGAATAGACAGAGAAACAGAGAGAGCAGCAGCAGGCAGCTTTGCGTTGAGCAGAGCACTTTTATTCAACACAGCTGCGTTCAGAAACAGCTGTGTAAGCCAAAGCGCCCTGCAGACCTCTCTCCCCCCTGATTCTACCTCTTCCAACAGCAACTCACCACAACACCAAAGAGCTTCAACATGCGCTCCGCTCGTTCAATGCTCTCCTTCATAAGTCATAATATATCTTTGTCTGCTTTAGCCCATGTACATACATGCACATGAATGAATGTGTGTATGCGTATATTTATATGTACATACATGCACATGTGTATGCATGTATGTATGTATCAGTGTAGTAGCAGGAAGCAAAGAACAAATGAAGAAATATCGTAATATGTGTATACATATGTACATAGGTACATATGCAAACATACATATGTATGTGTATGTTTGTATGTACAAGAACGGGTTTGTGCAATGCAGTCGCAGGCAACAAGAGCAAGAATTTGCCAATCGCAGCAGCAGCAACAGCGCGTCCAACACATTTTTTTTTTTTTAATGTTAAACAAAGAGTCTGGAATACACACACCCACTTAACTGTATGGATGTATGCTTGCATGCTTGGAAATTGATCAACACAACATTTGCATAATTCGCAATTTATCGAACACTGTTAAGCATACATATGTATCTGAGCAATTTCCATGACGCTCCCTGTTCAGAAGTCAAGCTTGAGAAAGCTCAGACGACGGCATTGTGGCCTCTCACATGGGGTGCGCATCACTCTTGAACATTTAGAAGGTCACTCGGAAAGCCGCGTCTGCGTCACGCGTAGTACACTCACATATGTGTATGTATAAATGTGCACATGTATACACTCATATAAGGAATTGAATTTCAGATGCTTTAATACGATATTTAACATTGAAACTAGAGCTGGCAACTTGTCGTGATTTCTTGTAATAGGCACTTTTTTCAAAAACAAATTTAATGTCATTAAACAAAGACTTATTAAACTACATGCTCTCAGAATTAACTAATAAAATGTACATACATTTCGTGTGCAAAATTAACACATTGCCATCTCTAGCTGAAATTAAAACTTTTCTAAACAGGATTCGCTTGATGTGACATTTTACAGTTTAGTTTTCAATGGAAGCGCAAAACAGTGTTTTGACATTCTTAACATTTTGTTGCTATTGTTAAACTTTCCAAAATGCGCATGATCTTCCATGCTCTCTCACTCGCTACCGCTTCTTTCTTTTTCACTCTCTCGCTCTCTGTTGGTGGGCGCTTTGTTTCGCATTTGTTTATATGGCAAGCGAAAAGTACAAGCCACAAACAAAAATTGTATATGGTTGTATTGGGGGCCTTGTTAAGCCAAGACTGTGTGCGTGCGAATGTGAGGCCGTATGTGTGTGTTTGTGAGTGTGTGCAAGGGGGCTTGCAAAGATTAAGAAGAAATATAATAATTCATACAGAAAATAAGCATGAATAATGCGCAACGGCGCCGCATTCCAGGCATACATAGCTGGGCAGCACTGGCCTTTGTGTATTTGTGTATGTGTGGGTGCGAGGGAGAGGAGGCGATGGTTTGCTGATAAGCAATGAAAGCAATAGCAAACAGCTGTCTAGGCCAACGTAACGGGGTGTGGTGGGATTGTGTGCTGTGTTACTCACCTTTGGCAATTCCCGTTTACGTCTGTAGATCACAACATCGCTTTCAATATAATCTGGCACCTCCTTGGTGCTTTTCGAAAAGTTAAACACCATGGAGGTGTTGTTGTCCGCATGGGAGCTGCTGCCTACGCCGCTGCTTCCATTGGCGCCACCTGTCGGCTGACGGCGCTTGCGCAACGGCCAAATGGGCGAAATGCCGCTGCTCGCTGCGTCCGTTTCGCAGCCATCCTTGGTGTTTGTATTTATCACGGTATCCAGACTAGTTGCCGCTGCTGCTGCGGCGGCGGCGGCAGCTGCATCTGCAGCCAATGCTGTTGACTTTTTCATCTCATTAATGCGATTCTTCTCAATCTCGCGACTGGTTAGCGGCGTACCGCATCCGGAACTGCTGCTCGAATTATTCAGCAGCGGCCTGATGACACCAATTTGCTTCGTTGTTGTTGTTGCTGTTGCTGCTGCTGCTGCCGCTGCAGCTGTTGTGGATTCACTGTTATCGCTTCTACGTTGCGGAAGCTTTCGACTACTGGAACTCGGGCTGGAAGCGTGTGCGTTCTCTTGCAAGGCGACAGCAAATGAACGCTGGGCGCTGCCGCCAACGCCAACGCCTCCTGCTTCATCCAGCTGCTGCGCTGCCGTCGACGCCGCTGCTGTTAACTTATCGCCATTGCAAACATCGTCGCCGTCAATTTCAGCCTCAGCTGTTGCTGCTACTTCGCCGTCCCCGTTGCCGTTGCCGTTGTCGACGTCATTTTCGTTGCCCTCGTCGTTCGCTTCGTCTTTGCTGCCGCCGTCGTCGTCATCGTCGTCGGGCTCGTCAGTTGCCGCCTGCGTGCGCTGCTGATCGCTGACTAAGCGCTGATTGCTGCCGCCCGCAACCACCCCAACGCCGGACTCTGGCTGCGCTGCCGTTCCCGCCGACGCCGCCGTCGTCGCTGATGAGCTTTCCAAGTGTATGCGTTCCAGCATTTTGCTTATGTTCGTCACAGGCGAATCGTAGGTTTCCAGCTGCCTGGGTATGATGTCTGGAACGACGGCACTGGCGACGCGCTGCTTAGGCGTCGACGCAGCGAAACCAGCTCCAGTCGACGGTGTTGCGCTCGCGGTGGCGACGCCATCCCGCTTGATGCCGCCGAGGGTGCTGTTGCTTGGTGGCTTCTGCTCCTTGATGATCGACTTGTAGTTGGCCACTTTGCTGGCAACGCCGCCGACGCCGTTGCTGCGCTGGGTGGCGCGAGGTCGTCGGTTGGCGCTCGCCTCGAACATCTTGAGGGTCTGCTTGACGAGGTCCGGAGGCGGACGTTCCGTGTCATCGATGATGGAGGTCAGACGCTTAGGCGGCGTGGCGTCGGTGCCGCTGTGCAGTCGCTCGCGTGCATTGTGAATCTTATCCTCGATGCTGACGCAGGTGGGCGTGCCGGGGGCAGTGATGGTAGCTCCAACTCCAACGCCAGCTGCAGCGCCGCCTGATCCAGTGATAGCAGCCGACATAGCGCTGCTGTTAACCACAGCCGATGCCTGATAACTGGCGCGCTGCGTATTCCAAGGCGACTTCTCGCAGAGCAGCGCTTCGACAGAGCGAGCGCGTTTCATTACTTCGTTGCCGCGCTTAAAGTGACGCGAACGCAGCCCGTTACCGTTAAGCGGCGACGTCGCCGTCGCCGTCGGCGACTGCACTGACTGTTGCTCCTGCGTCGCCCGCTGCTGCTGCTGCTGTTGCTGCTGGTGTTGCTGCTGGCGTAGCTGCTGCTGTTGATGCAAGACATTCACGCTTTTAATGTAACCGCTGCTGCTCGCTGGCTTGGCGCTTAGTATGGGGGGCGCTGCAGCGCTGCGCGTTACATTCACATTGACTGCAGCATTGACTGCGCCTGCGTCGCTGTTTACTTGCTGTTGCTGCGCATGATGATGATGATGATGATGCTGATCATCCTCGGCGTCGTCGTCGTTGCGATCGAGCAGCGTATTGAGGCTGGTGGAGCGCTGCAGTCGCTGCTTTTGGCTCTGTTGGCGTGACTCGCAGCGCAGGGCGAGATTTAGATAGCGGCAGCGCAGCTTGGACACAATGCCGGGTCCATAGCTGAACTCCTCAGTTTGATCGACGGTATCCAAGAGCGTTGGCAGCGCACTAACGCCGACGTCCAGGTCGGCGTCGGCGCTCTTTAAATGCAGCTGTTGTTGCTGCTGCTGATGGTGATGATGATGATGTTGATGATGATGATGATGATGATGACGCTGTTGGCCATTTTGTGTGGTTGTCTTTTTCATTTCTTGCATGGCGACCATTGTCGTTTTTACCGCTACTTTTGTGGGCGATGCGGCCGTTTGGCGTTCCAATTGCTGGTATTGCTGTTGCTGTTGCTGTTGTTGTTGCTGTTGCTGCTGTTGATTTTTAATGAACTTGTTGCTCTGCAATTTATCGGATATTTTCGTTTTACAATTTTTATCAATTATAATTGGCGTAGTGTTGCTAAAATTATGTAGCGCTGCTTCAGCAACGCTCTGGCCTGGTTTGCATTTCGTTTGCAACTGATTTGCTGACGACGACGAAGTCGCCGTTGTTGCTGTCGTTTGTTTCACATTTGCGCTGCCGCTGCCGCTGCCGCCGCCACCGCCGCTGCCGCCGCTGCCGTTATTGTTGCTGCCTTTTGCTGTTAATGCTCCAGTTGTCGCTGTGCCAGTTTCAACTTCACCAGAGCGCCCGCTCGCATATGCCATGCCAACGGCAGCGCTATTCACCTCAACGTCACGCTCTCCGCACGCTCGCTCGCGCTCTCTTTCGCGCTCTCTGGCATCCAAATTTAGAATCTCTTCTTGCTCCTTGCCAGTTGATTGACTTCTTGTGTTGAATAAACTTGATCGCTGCTTTGGTATTGGTGGTGGTGCTGCTGCTGCTGTTGATGCTGATGCTGATGCTGATGCTGCCGTTTCGGCTGAAAAGGCCGTGGCTAAGTCTTTGCCTTGTGTACTTTGGGCTGCTGCTGCTGCTGTTGCTGCTGTAGCTGCTGTTTCTGCTGGAAGCGTCTGATGACCTCCACTTCCAATAAAACATTTCTCAGACTTTTCCTCTGTTGTTGGTGAAGTCTTAAATGCTGCTGCTTGCTGGTATGTTTGGCTTACATTTCGTTTCACATGCTGCTGCTGCTGCTGACTAGTTATTGTTGTTGTTGTTGTTGTCGTTGGTGTTGCGGCTGACGCTGCGGCTGGGCTGCCGTCAGTTGCACCTGAATCTGCAATTGAATTGGCCATAAAACGAGAGTCCAAATTGATGACAAATTCAAAATACTAAAAACTATGGAGTGATATGTATATATATAATATGTTATAGATTCTATTTCCTACGTTTGTGACTAACCAACAATGGGTTGCTTTGACTTCTAGTTCAATTAACAATTGATAACATTCGATAAGAGCAGGTACAAGCAAATACGAGTTTGGGTAGTCATTGTCATTGGGTGGGCACGACTGAGCATTATACCCTGCGTGGTGGTACAGAGCTCAATATTGATTGATAGCGTAAAGATGTGTTGGACTCTCTGGTACCCTGAACGACCCATTTAGAGTATGTTGGACTAGCTGATACCCTAATTGATGCTAGTAGATTGTATCAGATTCCCTATTAGCGGATACCCTGTATCCTTGTATACCCTGTAGAGCTTTACAATATATACATAAATACATTTCATCAGTTTAGCGTATTTGACTATCTGTTACTCTTTATTGTGCTAGGAAATGCATGCTAGACAACGGGGTATGCCAGACGGCATTATACCCTGTATCAAACTAATTTATGTGTCGTAATAGGTGCACCTAATAAAATTATAGCTGTTGATTTGATTGTTAATCATTTGCTAATGAATAAAGGATTTCGAAACAGACCTCGCTGTTGTCACCGCAATTGTTATCGATAAACGATTACTCACAATAGTAAAACCAATTGTGCATGTGTGTGCCTGTGGGGACTTTTGATATTCACAGGTGAAATAACATCGAACCAGGCAAACAGCTTTCAATAATTGTAATTTCATTTCTTAATCAGCTCAACGTATTAACGTGGCTAATTATACACCCCAGCTGCAAAGCCAATCGCAAGCTTACACATCTCACATACTATATAAAGATATTGATATGGATATAATACACATTATGTATATATGTAAGCATACATATTATATACATAGATATGCATATGGCATTGCAACTGCCTATTGCCACATTCAGCACATTTGCGATTTCATGAATCGATATCGATACCTCCAATTTGTTTTTCCTTTTCTACATATTTTTTCTTCTGAACGAACGAATCGTCTTCAATTACAGAAAATCAAAAACCAATTGAATATATATATATATATATATATCTGTTTTTTGTATTTATTTCTAGTTACTGCAAACAAGCCTTTTAGTTTGATTTCATATTTGATTTTCTAGGTATGATAATACGAGAAGAGTACATTGGTTTTATTCAATGTTTGTCTAATCGAGTTTTTGGAACAATCGGGATATATAATATCTGGTATGACTAATTAATTCTGGTGATACTCGCGTAGTTAACCCAACATCATAGTTATATATTAGTATATGAAAATACATAAATTTGATGCAAACTGAAGTCCTTTCAGACTCTAGTATGAAAATTTGATTTATATATATCCAGATATACTCAATCTATAGGATTTAGCAAAAACTTTTGTAAAGTTACAAGATTTCGAAGACTATTATATAAATACGATACATACATATATATCTATATATAGCTGAAGCTAAAACTCAGGTTAAGCACCTGACATGCTTGAACTCACCTGCGGGTTCAGTGAAAGCCGCACAACTGCCATCAGCTGTTGGCACCGCTGAGGTGGGTGAGCTGGCGGCGGCATTGGTTCGAGCCACATTCGTTTTGCGGCGCTGTATCAAGTCCTTCTTCCATTGCGGCATATCCGGCAGGAAGCTCGCCGAAGGAGTCGTAGCTGGCGACATGATCTCAGCTCCAGCTCCAGCTCCAGTTCCCGACCCAGTTCCAGTTCCAGGAACGTCCGCAGCTAAATGCAATGTGGGTCGCTTCGGTGGCTCCAGCGATGACATTTTTGGCTAAATTTAACGCTGCAATTGGCATTCTGTGTGTTAGTGCATCGCATCAGCCAACGGACTTCCGAGGTTATTCAAACAGTTTAGACAAATAAAAAACAAAACAAAAAAAATCAAATATCCCGTGCCCGATGCCCGCTGACCGTTCACCGTTCACCGTTCACAGAGACGTCTCGACCCAAGCGCTCGACTCGACAAACTGAAGCGCGGCTCTGACAATGCCAAATGCAATGCATTCCACATTCCGCTACCAAAGTGCGGGCCTAAGCGAAGCATTAACTCAATTGACCCAGCTGATACCCTAAACTGAACTGCGACCAGCACGACTCGGCTGGAGCTCTAGCGCCAGCGAGAAAGTCTAGAGTAGTAGGAGTTTCGCGAAGTCATTAAATAGCAATCAAAATATCAAATAAAATAAAATGTACGAAAATGCATGAATACAAAAACACAAAAATAAATAAACCAAAAACAT